TTATTACATGGGGTAAGAAAGGCTGGTTTTACTTCCTAGGATATATTTGGTGAGTGGTTTTTAACACATTTCATCTCTGAAGTATGCAAGGCACTAGCTATAGGTCCTTAATAAAGTATTATATAATATGTTAATAAGGTGGCAAAAAAATGTTGCAAATCTAGGGGAAAATTGGAGACCAAATGATGATGACTAAGTGTGAGTACTCTCAGACAATAAGAAACTGACTCGACACAGCCTGTTCCTTGATAACAGGTACTGGATGGGCCCACTTCGGGCCATATCAGATAAATACTCAATGCTTGGTCTATTGTATGGGAAGACTGCTGGACACAGTACCATTAATCCTTTCAGGGTCAACAGGCCCTCTCCCAGACTTGTTCTCAGGGTCGATAAATTTTCAAAAAAAAAAAAAAAAAAAATTCTTATGAAAAGATAGAGAATCTTTTTCCGATCATAATGACACCAAAAGTATGAAATTTGATGGAAAACTTATGGAATTATGCTCTCGCGAAGTTAGCAGTCTCGATGATGTTCACGCATCAGCGATTTTGTCCACTTTGAGCCCTATTTTCGGCCAATTCCAGTGTACTATTTCGCTAGAACTCCATTTTTTCTATCGAATGAGTACAAGAAACCACCCATTTACCGATTTCAGCTATCCAATAAAGTGGTCAGAATTTAGCAATTTTGCCAGTTTCACACAGATTTCAAAAGATGTCAATTTCCAAATAGGGTCCAGAATAAACAAGAAAGACATTCCTGGCACTAAAGTAACATTTCCTCTCTTCATTAGTCACTCCCCACGCCCCTCTTACATTCTTTTGTTTTCCACTTTGAATTTTTATTCTCACAAAAAAGAGAAGATTTACTGTCATGCAGACTACTTCATTAGTGTAGAAATGGTATAAATAATATCAGTGCACTTGTGAAAGAATATTAGACTCACCAGTTGACGTGTATTGGACACATAGCATGATTTGTTTACTTTTGAACTTTGGCAAAAATTGAAGATTTCTGCTACTTTGAGCTCAATTTCAAGGTACTTTTCATGTAAAACCAATCCAAATCGTCTCAATTTCTGTAATATGTCTTCCATTCTATAAAATGAGACCAAGAAAACTAGAATACAACCATAAATACCATACGAAAATACAGTGTAAAGTCGCTGTTTTAAACTAAAAACACGGCCAAAGTTTTTTTTTCTCATTACGCACTGTGTGCTGCAGTATTTTTTTTATACTGCGCACACTGACCACATAGACCCATTCTTTCATATGTAGGCCTACCAGCTTTCTCTCGCTAGATTTGAGGGCGCTAGAATTTAGGCATACTAGTACATCAAAAAACCTGGTGCGGTAGCCGTACTAGTATGTCAGAAACCCTGAAAGGGTTAATAACAGCAACTTTAGTTCATTGAATCAAGCCTTTATTTGGTCCAATTTTTTGTGTTTCTCCGAAATCTATTAAACGGTAAATTTAACCCTTTGACTATCGCAAGCCTATTTCTGAAACTGTCATTCTATGTTGAAAAATATTCGAAAAAAAAAAATTCTTACCAAAATGTTAGGATTATTTTGCTGAGTGTTTTAAGCCTTAAAAAATTCTTGTGATCAGTATTTACCAAGATATAGAGGCATAAAGTTTGCAGAAAATGAGCCGCATATGGCAACAGCAGCGAATGTCGCTCACCTGGTAAAGTTTTTTTTTTATTCCCATTCGAAGGTTTCTTGTTTTTTTCCACTGCTTGATTTTTTCAGGTAACTTATGTGGCCTATGGGACCAAAGTAAGGTGCAATGTACATACATGTATATACATGTACACTCGTTGTAAGCAACACAATAGCTGCACAAACATTATTATCATTATATTATTTACAAAACTTGTTTACACAAACCAGCAATACAAAAAAATTTTTATTACTATTGTTCTATAATATATATACAAATGTACAGTCACTGGACATGTTCCTAGAAGTTCTGCAGCTTGTGGAACTCTTTGAAACATGGTTTAATACACAATGGTGTTTTACACTCCTCACACATAAAACGAGTGTCTCCCTCCCTCCCTCCCTCCCTCCCTGCCACTGTCACTGTCACTGAACACTTTTCATAGAACTGCTGTTATTATCTTCTGGAAGCTTTTGTGTGTGTGTGTGTGTGTGTACTCACCTAGTTGTACTCACCTAGTTGAGGTTGCAGGGGTCGAGTCCAAGCTCCTGGCCCCGCCTCTTCACTGGTCGCTACTAGGTCACTCTCCCTGAACCATGAGCTTTATCGTACCTCTGCTTAAAGCTATGTATGGATCCTGACTCCACTACATCGCTTCCCAAACTATTCCACTTGTGTGTGTGTGTGTGTGTGTGTGTGTGGAGACTCCTAAATGTGCTGAGTCATGTTGCAGCAGCTGTCAAAATGACATATTATATCATCCCTCACTACCCCTACTGCCTTTCAACACCCATGGGGTCCAATGCCTTCCTCCCCACTGTCTCCTTCCTTTCTTTCTTTCTTTCTTTCTCCTTTCTTCTCCTTTCTCCTTCTTCCTCCTTCTCTTTTCTTCTCCTTTCTCTTTCTTTCTCCTTTCTCCTTTTTTCTCCGTTCTCTTTCTTGCTTTTTATCTTTCTTTCTTTCTTCTGGTATTCTGGGCATTGCTTTCAGTCACAAACTCCTCAGAACCATGAAATTCATCTTCATTGACACTTCCATCTATGTTGGATCTATCACTTGGGAAGAGAAGAGCCCAAGATTTGCCGGGGAGTCAGATATTTCTTACCACTAGGCATGCTGAACAAGGACTACTGAAATGGCGTTCCCACAATGCACCACTGGCTCCCTGATTTTTTTTTTATACTGTGCACACTGACCATGGAGACCCATTCTCTCACATGTGGGACTACCAGCTTTCTCCCGCTTGATTTGAAGCCACTAGAATTTATGCATATTAATGTCAGAAACATTGGCTCGTAAAACGTATATATACGGCCGAAACAGTCAATAGGGTTAACCCTCTGCGACAGTCAGAGGGTTAAATGAGTGTTTGCAATATTAATTCTATTATTTCTTCATAAAAGTATGAATGAACTTCATTTTGTGTAGGAATTTTCAGCAGTAATGATTGTAAAGGAAGTATTAAGTGCTATCATTTTTTAACCCTTTCAGGGTTTCGGCCGTACTGCTATGGCTTATGCGCCAATGTACATGACGTACTAGTACGCATAAATTCTAGCACCTTCAAATCTAGTGAGAGAAAGATGGTAGACCTACATATGAAAGAATGGGTCTATGTGGTCAGTGTGCGCAGTATAAAAAAATACTGCAGCACACAGTGTGTAATGAGAAAAAAAAACTTTGACCATGTTTTTGGATTAAAACAGTGACTTTGCACTGCTAGAAAAATACTAGAAAAATGCTAGGAAAAAATTATAGAAAAATGACAGGATGGATAATGAGAACCTTCAAAACTAGGGATGCCAAGCCCATGATGACACTCTTCAGGTTGCTTGTTCTATCTAGGCTGGAATATTGCTGCACACTAACAGCACCTTTCAAGGCAGGTGAAAATGTACAGAGAACCTTCACAGCATGCATAACGGAGATAAAACACCTCAATTACTGGGAGCGCTTAAAGTTCCTGAACCTGTATTCCCTGGAACGTAGGCAGGAGAGATACATGATTATATACACCTGGAAAATCCTAGAGGGCCTAGTACCGAACTTGCACACGAAAATCACTCCTTACGAAAACAAAAGACTTGGCAGACGATGCAACATCCCCCCAATGAAAAGCAGGGGTGTCACTAGCACGTTAAGAGACAATACAATAAGTGTCAGGGGCCCGAGACTCTTCAACTGCCTCCCAGCATACATAAGGGGGATTACCAATAGACCCCTGGCAGTCTTCAAGCTGGCACTGGACAAGCACCTAAAGTCGGTACCTGACCAGCCGGGCTGTGGCTCATACGTTGGATTGCGTGCAGCCAGCAGTAACAGCCTGGTTGATCAGGCTCTGATCCACCAGGAGGCCTGGCCACAGACCGGGCCGCGGGGGCATTGACCCCTGGAACACTCCAGGTAAACTCCAGGCATATTTTCATATGGTATTTATTGTTGTATTTTAGTTTTCCTGGTCTCATTGTATAGAATGGAAGACATATTACAGAAATTGAGATGATTTTGACTGGTTTTACAATGAAAAGTGCCTTGAAATTGAGCTCAAAGTAGCAGAAATGTTCGATTTTTACCCAAGTTCAAAAGTAAACAAATCATGCTAAGCGTCCAATACACATCAACTGGTGAGTCTGATATTCTTTCACAAGTGTGCCGATATTATTTATACCATTTCTACACTAATGCAGTAGTCTGCATAATAGTAAATCTTATTTTTTTTGTGAGAATAAAAATTCGAAGTGGAAAGCAAAAGAAATGTAAGAGGGGCCTGGGGACGTAACTAATGAACAGAGGAAATGTTATTTTAGTGCCAGGAATGTCTGTCTTGTTTATTCTGGACCCTATTTGGAAATTGGCATCTTTTGAAATTTGTGTGAAATTGGCAAAATTGCTAAATTCTGACCACTGTATTGGATAGTTGAAATTGGCAAATGGGTGGTTTCTTGTACTCATTCGATAGAAAAAATGGAGTTCTAGTGAAATAGTACACTGGAATTGGCCGAAAATAGGGCTCAAAGTGGACAAAATCGCTGATGCGTAAACATCATCGAGACCGCTAACTTCGCGAGAGCATAATTCCGTAAGTTTTCCATCAAATTTCATACTTTTGGTGTCATTATGATCGGGAAAAGATTCTCTATCATTTCATAAGAATTTTTTTTTTTTTTTTGAAATTTGGGGGACCCTGCAAACAAGTCTCTGAGAGGTCCTGTGGACCCTGAAAGGGTTAAATTCTAAATGATATATAAACAAAGCATTTTTTCTTTCCTCAGTAGTTAACATAGTTTAGTGGTTTCAATAAATTATTATATATAATAATTACATTGCAGTTAAAAAGAAATAATTTTTCAAGAAGATGGAGATCATGGGATGCAGAGGATGTAGAAGCATTTAAACACTGTCGTCTCCATAACTGTCACAAGGCACAGGACTATGGCTCTCATCATAAATGTAAGTTAATGTGGAATTTGTAAATTACTGTATTTTATTATGTTTTATGTTGCTTGGATTCTTTATATTCTCTTCTAAAATACTGTGTTGGACTATACTAACAGTATTTAGTTAATGGAAAGAAATATATTTACAGTAATTGAATTTTTAAGTGTTGTATTAACTAACATGATAGTTCATTAGTACCCTATTTAACAATTTTTCTGTAGATCTCTCATGATAGTTTGGCAAGAAAGGCAAAAATTAACTATGACAGGAATTTTTCCTGTTTGTATGAACACTCTGTAGATGGACAAGTTGGGAAACTAGAGTAATGAGTATAACCTGCAAGACATTCATCTAAATAATGATCTGAAAGTTTGCATATTTTGCACTTGTTGTAACTGCAGATTGGCACTTGTAAGTTATTAATTAGTTTTGAAGTGCTAATGTTGAAAGTGCTGTACAGTTGGGAACAAACTGTACAGTACTGTACCATACCATACTGTAATAGTGCATAATTCAACAGAAACCAGCTATCTGGATAAATATGTACAGTAAATGTCTGATAAAATAGATTAATAGGAGGGTAGAGGGGTGTCCACTTTAACAAAAAATGTGCTATTTTGAAAGTTTTAATTAAACAGATGTAATCCACTTAATCAGTCAACTATAGACATGGACAAATACTCAATAAAACAGACTTAGTCTGCTCTATTGATGGACTACTGGACATAGAATAAACTAGAGTACAATGTAATATTACCTGACAAAAAAAATGCATTGGAAGTACAGCACAGTACAGTACAACAAAGTATGTTACAGTTATTCTTCTTACCTTTTTTGGTGGATAGATAAGCTTACAGATGTGCAAATACAGTACAGTATTTCCATGTAGTCTAGTGGTGACCCAGAATAACTTATTCTGAATCAGTGGAGTTGTAAAGCTCCAACAGTAACATTGGAAGTTGTGTTGGAGACAGACAGGTAGATGGTGAGGGAGATGTAGATGGATCAACATATGTAAATGGCTGAGGACACATAGATGGCTGAGGCTTACTGGTAGAATGTTTGGGGGATGTAGAACAAGAAATAGGTTGAAAGAATGAATCCAGCTTAATTTGTCTGTCATGTTGATGCTGCTCCCCTGTGACAGTTTCTCTAGAAGAGCCAAAGTTCTGATAATAGGCCTGCACTTTGCTCTTATCTTAGAGGTAAGTGTATGTAATGAGAACATCAATTGCATCTTGTACCGCTGACAATTTTGGTGATTTCATAGTTTCTTCTTTGTCATCATCATTATCCTCTTCATTTTTGGGGGTACCAATAACTTTGTCTGCAATTTCTGCATCACTCAACATCTGGTAACCAGAATCTTCCTCATTTTCTTCCAGCCATTCAGCCATATGTTCCTCCATAATGCTTGTTTACCCTACTTTTTGAAGTGTTTGATGACAGTTAGTGGCCTTGAATCCCTCAAAGTTGAACTCAATATCAAAACATTATTTAACAACCTTTTTTTAACCTTTAGCTAATGTTGTGGTTTTCACTTCCTTCCAAGATGCCACACTGTGGAAGATGCCAGATTTCAGGTTATACTTCTTGACATTTTCTAACTCACATTGGTGTCTTTCTCCAAATCTTGTTCCTCCTCAATAAATACCAGTACTTCATGTGTAAAGGAAGAAAGTTGAGGGTGAACATAGATACAAGTAAGGTGATGAGGGTATCAAATGAGTTAGGTAAAGAAAAATTAGATATCATATTGGAGGGAGGGAGGGAGTGTTGAAGAAGTGAATATATTCAAATATTTGTTATTGGATGGGTTTATGAAGAATGAGATTAACCATAGACCTGATGAAAATAAAGAGGTTGGTGGGGGAAAATTGAGGTATCTATGGAGACAAAAAAATGTTATCCATGGAGGCAAAGAAGGGAATGTATGAGAGTATAGTGGTACCAGCATTCTTATATGGGGGTGAAGCATGGGTTGTCAATGCTGCAGCAAGGAGGCTGGAGGCAGTGGAGATGTGTCTAAGGGCAAAGTTATTATTATTTATTATTTTTATTTATTAACACACTGGCTGATTCCCACCTAGGCAGGGTAGCCCAAAAAAGAAAAAAACTTTCACCATCATTCACTCTATCACTGTCTTGCCAGAAGGGTGCTTTACACTACAGTTTTTAAACTGCAACATTAACACCCCTCCTTCAGAGTGCAATGCATGGTGTTAATATTATACAGAGAATTCATAGTGTGGAAATTAGGAAGAGGTGTGGAATTACTAAAAGTATTATTCAGAGGACTGAGGAGGGGTTGTTGAGATGGTTTGGTCATTTAGAAATGATGGAGCAAAATAGGATGACTTGGAGGGTGTATAAATCTGTAGTGGAGGGGAGGAGGGGTAGGAGTCATCCTAGGAAAAGATGGAGGGAGGGAGTAAAAGAGGTTTTGTGTGCAAGGGGCTTGGACATACAGCAGGCATGTGTGAGCACGTTAGATAGGAATGAATGGAGATGAATGGTTTTATGGACTTGACGAGCTGTTACAGTGTGAGCAGGGTAATATTTTGTGAAGGGTTTCAGGAAAACCGGTGAGCTGGACTTAAGTCCTGGAGGTGGGAAGTACACTGCATGCACTGTAAAGGAGAGGTTTAGGATATTTGCTCTTTGGAGTGACATTTGAACTGTCATATCTGTGCGCCTCTGCAAAGACAGTGCTCACCTAATTGTGGTTGCAGGGGTCAAATCATAGCTCCTGGTCCTGCCAGGTAATGGTGAAAACTTTTCTTTTATGGGGTCACCGTACCTCGGTGGGAGATGGCTGGCGTATTGAAAACAAAAAACTTTGTCTAAATATTTTGTTTGATACAACTTCTTGAAGACTGCAATAATCCCCTTACCCATAGGCCACATTTCTATCAATAGGGGGTAGAAATGTGGCTTTAATTCTACCTTAACTACTGATTAAATTTTCAGCCCATGGATGAAAAGGTGCATTATCAAGCAAGAAAAGAACCTTGACTTTGTTGGGATCAAGTTTGAGTTTCTCTGACTGGTACTTACGTACTTAAGAAAATATATCCATGTGAAACTAGCCTTGTAATAAATGACTGGCAGCCCTTTCATACAATCTTTTAGACTGTGGGCATGCTGATTTGCCAATAACTGCCAGTTTGAAGCAGTGCATACCATCAGCATTACCACAGCATAAAACTGAGAAGTGATCTTTGCTGAATTTATGGCCTGGTGTCTTTTCCTTATGCTGAAGGAATAGAGTGTGAGAAGGGTAATGATCACCAAAACAAACCAGTTTCATCGACATTATAGAGCTGAGATAGAAGGAGCCCTTTAATTGCCATCAGATCACTTAGTAATAATCTGAAGGGCTCAGTTTCTTCTGTGCATACACTGCCAGCTTTACCATAGGTTTTTCTATTAGGCCATAGCATTGATGGAAATACCGAAGTCAACCATCACTTGCTCCAAATTCTATGCCCATATGGGTTACTAGCTTCTTAGCAACATGGTAACATTTATGCAATAGATGTTACCATTCTCATATTCCAACAGCTTGTTCATTAAAAACTACTTGTCATCTTTCATTCTTATATAACACACAAGCTTGCTGGGTGCTCAAACTCCTAAAACTCAAAGCCTCCTTTACCCCCTCCATCTAACTATTCCCTGGACAACCCCTACCTCTCTTCCTTCTACCCCAGATTCATACATCCTCTTTGTCATCCTATCTTTTTCCATCCACTACATGTGCAGACCACTGCAACAACCCTTCCTCAGCTCTCTAACTTGTATTCTTGGTGACTCAATATCTTTTAATTTCTCCGTTCTGAATTCTTTGCATGATATTCACACCACACAGTGCTCTGAGGCATGACATCTAATAAAGTTTGAATCTTCTACATGTGCAAAAGTGATAGCCTCACCTTGGCCTCACTGTTGCCCCTCCTCTCCTACTATACTATCTTTATTTCTACAAGTACAGTACATGTACAAGGTATGCAGGCCTAGCTGACATCAATGTCATACTACCATATAGAAAGCCACTTGTTATGCAAAGCATTTCAGGCAAATTAGGTCAGTTTTGTCCCAGGATGCGACCCACACCAGTCGACTAACACCCAGGTATCCATTTTACTGATGGGGAATATAGACAACCGGTGTAAGGAAACACACCCAATGTTTCTACCCTCACCAGGAATTGAACCCGGACCCTCACCATGTGAAGCGAGAGCTTTAGCCACCAGGGCATGGGGCCACTATGATCCTAGTTGAAGGCCTGCTTAGGTGTAATGTAGTACGTAGATAAAAATGCAAGTAACTGTTTTGAGACTTTGTAGGAGCCACAGGCAAAAGAGGATGCATATCATATAAAGCAGTGTTGACAACATTCTACAAAGACCAATCTCTTGACTTAAGTGGGTCAAAACTAAAGTACCTTTTCACCAGTATCTTTTCACTGAAGGTGTGTATTACTCACTGATGAGCTACAGCTTCTGGTGCAGGCCACATTCATGGTTAGGGAAGATTGAAGTTGGAATTGCCAATTATGGCAAACCCTAATGAATCAAGAGCCCCTCACTGACATCAGGGAATCTTCTTTGAGGGTTTCTCAGCCATAACCCTCTTCCATGGTGTGGGACACTTCCTTGGAATTATGACTCTTGTTATTAAATCTTACAGTATCCCACCACAGAATTGGGGCTTTCCACAAAGGTGGCAGGGAATCCTTGGCAGCATATATTAACCCCTTAACTGTCCAAACGAAGATCTACATTCATTCACCCAGCGCTTCGAATATTTTGAAAAAAAAAAAAAATTAGTGTTTTTTTTTAAATGAAGAGGGCATTGTTTACATAAAGTAATGCAAAAAATAAATTCTAGAGTCAGTACCTATGGAGATATAAGGCCGCAAATTCAGCGCTTGTCACTCACTTGACGGCAACACAAATTGCTGTCGCTTACAGAAGTGCTGCCAATTTACCTTTTTATCTCATTGTTTTTTAATTTGTATAATTTTTATGTTCTGATAATAACAATTTGTAGTAGTTCTTGTGATTTCATAGTTAATATTTGTTCTGATACTAATATTAGGTGCTGAAATAGTATTCAGATAGTCACAAACACAGTGACAGGTGAACATTTTTACCTACCTTAGTCACATACTATTGTCTAGAAATATATATAGTGGTACCTCGAATTTCGAACAATTTCCAACTCGAACAATTATGCAAGTGTATTTTTGTAAGTGCTTTTGTAAGTGTATTTTTGGGGGTCTGAAACGGACTAATCTAATTTACGTTATTCCTTATGGGAACAAATTCGTTCAGTAACAGCACTCGAAAAGCCTTCTGGAACAAATTAAGGCCAAAATTCAAGGTACCACTGTACATACTAGTATTTATAAGTCCCTGCAATATTTTGAATATGTGGGAGTATAGAATAATAATAATAATAATAATAAGTTCCCTTGAAGCATGATGTAAGACATGTGTCACTCCACTCCTGACAGTGCAGCTAATGGTGACATTTGATGAGCATACACTGCCTTTGCTTTATTTGTTTTCACTGTTACAAATAAACATGTCTGTCTGTCTATCTGTCTGTGTCTAGCTCTCTGTCTGTGTGACTAGTGCTCTGTCTGTCTGTGTGTCTGTCTTTCTGTCTGCTTGTTTCTCTTGTCTCAGAGAGTTGCTCATGAACCAACTGGTTACACACACGATCACATCTGCTTCCTGAACAAGTGAAAATGCATAATACTTGCCAGTTGCCAGTCATGTTTATTATGCATTATATCTACAATCACAGTATAGCATTTTGTCTGGATTTTTTGGGTTATCCTAGGTAATTTACACTATGTATAATTGTATTTACGTATGTGTTTCTGTGAGATAGAGACAGAGATAGATACAGACAGACAGACAGACAGATAGAGACAGCCAACTGCCAGCCAGCCAGCCACCAGCCAGCCAGCCAGCCTGCCAAACACGATTTTTTTTTTTTACTTAGGGCATAGGTTATAGGACAGTATGGAAGGATGACACTACCAGTGGTACCAAAATTGAAAGGATGTTGCACAAATGTTGCACATGGGTTATTATCGAGGTTTTTGATATTTCCGCAACCACTTGTGGCCACATCCACCTCAAAGCCACTAAACTCTGGGTCATGATCACTTTCCACTTAAAAGGGGAGTGTTAATACGACATGACATCAATGAATCCTTGGTGTTTGCCGCGTTGTTTGCTCTAGATGGCTCTCAGTTGGACTGGTGCTCCCACAATGTACTAAGTGGTCCCTGATTTTTTAATACTGCGCACAACAAGAGTTAAGACCCATTCTATACTGACCAGGCATCTCAGGCCAGTCGTGCTAAATTTGGAGGCAGGAAAAATAAAACATAGATCTACATTTGGAGTGTTAGCAGTAAGAATGTAGATCTATGTTTGGACAGTTAAGGGGTTAATGGAGTACCCCATTTTCTCAGTGCCTTACTTTGTACTCGGTTTTTTCCTGAAAGTATTAAATTTAATGCAGATGTGTTTGCTGAAGTAGATTCTTTCCATCTAAACATATTCATACTGCTGCTCCTTCTTTTCTAAAAACTGTAATTTTGTTTCATTTCCATGCAGCAGTAATACCTATGGGTTTAGTACTTCTCTAAATTCTGCACCAATATTTTATAGGCTAAGCTAGCTTGATATACGTATTAGGAAAGCACTGTTTAAAGATTCAAGCGAAATTGATTATCCATTCCTTACCATGATTAAAATGCAAGAATCTTTGGAAATTTAATGAAATAATATAACCATATGCACCTTGCTTCAAGTCATCCTTCTATACTCAATGTGTAATGTTTTCATTGCAGGTATCCACCGCTATCTACAAAATGATCGTTTGTTTCTGGAGCCCACATTAACTAACAGTAAAGGGAATAGTTTGTGTGTTGAATGTGGTGCACCTCAGCCTTCAGAACCTAAGAAAAAACCCTTTATGTATCATATTACTCTTGGAGGAATGAGAGATAGTGACAGTGTAATGAAACCAAGTGACAAAGGCAAAGTTAAACTGGCAGGAAATCTAGACAGTGAAATTAGCAAACATGGTTCACACCATAGACTTGAAATACCAGGTGACATATCCAAGCATATATATGCTAGATTAAATAAAAATATAAAGCACATCCTTCCTGGTTGCTCGGGGTACTCTCCAAGTTCCTGGGCTGTAGGTAGATTAGCAAGTGGCTTTCCCTGTGCGAAGCGACACCCTAGTAGATCCATGGCACTAGTTGACCATATGGTCTGAGCTTATAAAAATTTAAATTAAGAAGAGATTATAAAAAAACTAGTTGATTTCTTTACAGTTCAGAGAGTATGCACACTAATCCTCTGTTCAGGTTTAAGAAATTATGTTTTGTTTCAGAAGTCATTAAAGGCAGAAAAATTTATTTAAAAATTATGCAGAATTTTTTAATGTTTAATTTTATGATTCTTTTAATGTAAACGGTAAATAAATCATGCAAACTTGTCAGATTTCTTTGCAGTTTAAATACCAAATAACAATCAATCATAACTTAAATATCAGTAAATTATTAATATTACATTTACCCTTTGAATGTCTCCCACGTAGATCTGTGTTACTGACGCCACTGTTACTCATGTAGATCTACATGATATGCTGTGAGTGATAAATTTTGGCTTAATCATGGTAGAATGGGTTTGTGTGGTGAGGGTGCACAATATGTATTAATAAGAAAAAAAACTGCCTCACACAGTGCATGTTGGGAAAATTAAACCACTAACTGTGTTTGATTTAAAATGGTGAATTTGTATTGTTGTTTTGGGTGGTTTTTATGGATTTATGGACTGTTTCTTTGCATCAGTAGGTAGAATGTAGAGCTTACTAGTGAAACAGATGATTTTGGTCAGTTTCTGACCAGAAGTAGCTTGAAATAGGGCTCCCAGGTCTGATGTGTGTGTTTACTAGGTCTGCTTTACTTATTGGGATGGCCTAAATGATGGGTTTAAAATGGGAAAATGTTATACAAAAAGAGGCCTATGTGTGTGATTAATGAACAGGAAAGGTTGCTTTAGTGGGTTGAATGCCTACTGTGTTTATTTTGGATTGTTTTTAAATTGGAATTCATTGAATTTTGTGTAATAATTACTGACTTGTGCACTGTTTAGGGTAGTTCTGATAGCTGAATATGCTTAATTGATATAAAAGGCATATTAGTGAAATAGCTAGGAATTGAGTCAAATTGAGCACTGGAATTGGCCTATCCCTTTCAGTGTCATGACCCCTGAAATTAAAAGTGCTGACAGTGTCATGACTTAAAAAAAATAACTTTTGAAATGATAGAGAACTTTTTCTCAAGGTAATGATGCTAAAAAGGTAGTTTGATGAAAAATTTACAGAATTAAGTGGGTGTGAATTTCACCTAATTTGAGCCCCCAATTTTAAACCAATTCCAATGCTCAATTCTTAGCTATTTCACTAGTATGGCTTCCAGTCTGTTGATTGAGCAGAAGAAACAACCTATTCAGCTGTCAGAACTACCCTACAATGTGCAGAGAAGTCAGTAATTTAGCCAATTTTACACAAAATTAAAAAATTCCAATTGATTAACAGAGTCCAAAATAAACAATATAGGCATTCCAGCCTCTAAAGCAACTTTTCCTCTGTTCATTAATCACTTCTTCAGGCCTCTCCTGTATAACACTTACCTCCATTTTAAATCCATCATAACAAAAAATTAAAGTTTTACCTTATTCCTCAGATACTAAAATAGATCCAGCAATGATTGGTCATGGTTTAGGCTATCCCAATAATAATAATAATAATAATAATAATAATAATAATAATAATAATAATTTTATTTCTAAGAGTACATGTACGTACAAAGTATACAGGCTTAGCTGATATCAGTGACGTACTAGAGATTAAAGATTCTTCATTTCAGCATGATACAATGTTTATACAGTGATGAGTGACATTTAGGTGCACATGCAGAAAACCCTTAGTACACAGAGCATTTTGGGCAAACTTAAGCCTATCTTGAGATTAAAAAGGCAATAATTATACACAACTAACCCACACATAGGAGAGGAGAGCTTTCGATAACGTTTCAGTCCGACTTGGACTATTTAAAAGTCACACTAACAGAAAGGAGACAAGGAGGCAGTATATATAGGCCAGCAGACAGGGATGGGACAAGAGGTAGTAGGAAAGGAAGAAGAGAGGTAGTGGTAGTGATGGTAGTAGTAGCAGTAGTAGAGACAGTCAAAGACTAAGAAAGAAGAGCATTGCAAGGGAGCTAGGGGCCCACAAAGGGGGGGAAAATAAAGGACCAAACACCCAAGGCAGAAGAAAGAAAACTGAAAGAGGAAAGGGGGAGAGGGAGAAGAAAAAAAAAAAGAATCAGGTTAAGTCATGGGTGTTTTGAGGTTTGGAGCATTTTACAGTGTAATGGGAAAGGAAGGCATTTACAGAGACAAAGCCAGGACTAAGATTCATGGAAACATAAACACTAAGATTCATACAAGGAAAGTTGTGTATAAGGGAGGATTCAACCAGACAGAGACTGTGAAAACTAGAAGTAGGGTAGGCAGTTTTAACAGAAGACCAGCCAATAGGATGACTGTGATCTCTGACATGACAGAAAAGAGCATTGTTGTTGTTTGCAAGCCTAACACTACTTTTGTGCTCCCTTAGTCTGTCAGAAAGAGAACAGCCAGTTTCTGTTCACTAATGTCCCTCTTGATGATGTCCTCGATTTTCTCAGAGAAAAAGCCAATGAAGGGTTATTTCATTTCCCTATACTTACTGATGTCTTTCTTGATCTTATTCGCTTTTGTGTGGACTCGAATTCCTTTTCCTTCCAAGGCAAATATTATTCTCAAACTTTTAGTGTCACTGTGGGCTCTCCTCTGTCTCCTGTTCTTGCTAATCTTTATATGGAATACTTCAAGACTGTTCTTCCTACTATTGATGTTTGCCCTTCACTCTGGCTCTGCTATGTTGATGATATCTTTGCTCTTTGGCCCCATGACTCTAGTCTCTTCCAACCATCATACCCTTAATAATCTTGCCCCTTCCATTAAGTTTAAAGCTGAATGGTAATCTAATTCTTTGCTTCCTTTCCTTGATGTTCATGTCCACTGCTTAGATACAGGTGTTTCTTTTTCCTTGTACTGCAAGCTTATGCAGTGTCATGTACATTCACTACTTTTTTTTTATTGTGCTTCCTCTGCCAAGAAAAATTTTCTTATTTTTCTTTCTCCATGCTCTCTGCATTTGTGACCCTCAGTTCCTTGAATTGGAAATTTCCACCCTTTGTAATTCATTTTCTCATCTTGACTACCCTTCCCATTTAATAGACTCTGCCTTCTCACGTGCTAAACGAACTTTCTTCTCTCCCAAACTCTCTACTTCTGGGAACTCTCCTGTTCTTTGCCTTCCCTATATTTCCAGTGTTTCTTATCTTAACAACTCTCTCCGTTCCTTAAACATCAAACTTACTTCTTGCCAAACTAACACTGCACCAATCTAATTCATACCTCTCCTCCCTCTATAGATGCTCCTGGTGTCTACTATATTTCCTGTTCCTCTTGTCCTCTTCAGTACTTTGGAGAAACTGGCCATTCTCTTTCTGACAGAGTAAGGGAGCACAAAAGTAGTGTTAGGCTTACCAACACCAACAGTGCTCTTTTTTGTCATGTCAGAGATCACAGTCATCCTATTGACTGGGCTTCAGCTAAAACTTTTTATCCTACTACTAACTTTCACAGTTGCTGTCTGGTTGAATCCTCCCTTATACACAACTTTCCTTGTATGAATCTGAGTCCTGGCTTTGTCTCTATGGATGCCTTCCTTTCCCATTACATACATTGTAAAATGCTCTGAACTTCGGAACACCCGTGGCTTGACCTGATTCTTTTTTTCTTCTTTTCCCTCTTCCCCTTTCCTCTTTCCTCTTTGAGTTTTCTTCCTTCTGCTTTGAGTGTTTGGTCCTTTATTATTTTTTCCTCCTCTCATGTCTTTGTTCCTACCTTTTGTAGGCCCCTAGCTCCCTTGCAGTGCTCCTCTTTCTTTATCTTGGACTGTATCCACTACTATTACTATTTCTCTACTTCCTTTCCTACTACCTCTCTTGTCTCATCCATGTATACTGCCTCCTTCTCTCCTTTCATCATAAGTTCCCCTTTCCTATGTGTGGGTTATTTGTGTATTGCTCCAGTCATGGTATTGTGCCTTTTTGCTATTTAACCCGTAAACGGTCCAAACATATATATACGTTTTTTCAACTTTTGAAAGTATGTAAAAAAGTAGATCTTCTTTTTGTTTTTTACATTTGAAAATGTGTAAAAAACTTTGATCTACTTTTTTTTTTTGTTATATTTGAAAATATGTAAAAAAAATGTAGATCTACTTTTGTAGCACTACACATGTGAATGTAGATCTGCTTGGACCGTTTACGGGTTAAGGCAATAATTAATTGATTCTTATATATGCAGTCTCAAGGGGTTTTAACAATAAACAGTTTTATTGAGTTTAATTGTTTTAAGGATTACAGGTTTGATCAGATTCTTTATTTCAGCATGATACAATGTTTGTACAGAGGTGGATGGCATTTAGGTGTGCATGCAGAAAGCCTCTTACTATGCAGAGCATTTTGGATAAACTTAAGACTAACAAGGTAGTGACTAATTATTATTATTATTATAATAAAAAAGAAGTGCTAAACCTGCAAGGGTAGTGACTAATTGAGTGTTTTTATATACTGTAGTCTCTTAGATGGTTGTAAATATAAATTTAGGAGTTATAATGAATACAAGAGAATTGAATATTCTATTAGTACATGCTATATGGCTTTCATCAAGTTTAACCCTTTGAGGGTCGACAGGCCCTCTCAGAAACTTGTTCTCAGGGTCGGCCAAATTTCAATAATAAAAAAAATTATTTTTTCTTATGAAAAAATAGAGTTTTTTTTTCTAAACATTATAGGATAAACAAAAAAATTTTACCATCAATACTTACGGAGATATGGAGGCATAAAGTTTGCAGAAAATGAGCCCCGTATGGCAACAGCGGCGACTGCCGCTTGCAGGTAAATTTTGGTTTACTTGTATTTGAAGGTTTGTTGTTTTTTTCACTATTTTATTTTTTCTCATAACTTATGTGGCCTGTGAGACCAAAGTAAGGTGCAATGTACATATATACACTCGTTGTATACAACACAGTAAGACACAAACATATATTATCAATATATTGTTTACAAAAACTTGTTTACAAAAAACAAACATACAAAACATTGTTTAATACTATGTTCTCTAATATATATTACCAATATCAGTCACTGAACATATTCCTATTAGATCTGCAGCTTATTGTGGAACTCTTTGAAACAATGGTGTCATACACAATGGTGTTTTTATCTTTCTCCCGCAAAAATCTATCTCTTTTTCAATCTGTTCTCTCTCTTTATATTGTCTGTCTATCTTGTCTCACAGGTACACATTAAAATACAA